TACACACGCACCGGCCTTTACTCCACTGTTACTTGCTGTTGTATCAAAGGACATACAATTAATGCGTTCAATTAAATTCCATTCTTCAAGTAACTCAAACACAGCAGTTGCTTGGGCTTCCCCCGTTCCATTTGGAATTTTCGGCACACCAAGTAATTTCATAATACCATCCCCTGATACTATAACTGCTAGGCGATCAACTTTATCTTTTAAAGTTAAATCTGGAAGTAATTTTCCGTCCCAATGGACTGTCAATGGAATAGTCGTAACAAATGAAGTTTTTATTTCATCAGCGATTTTTTCTCGATATCCTCGACGAGCTTGTCTTATTGACTCTCGATTAAGGGTAAAATTGTGTATATTATGCCCTAATGATTGTACTGTAGCTGATAAAACATACATTGCATTTCGATCACTTACTTTCGTTCTATCTAGAGCAGATGCTACTCTAGAAGTTACAATAGTTGAATTAAATAAAGTATTGACCTTCGTAGGACTATTATTTTTTTTTAACCTCTTGCTGGAGGGTAAATACAACTCATCATTATCACTACTGCTGCATTGCGAATCATCACAATCAATATTATTATCATGAACATTTGACATTTGTTCGTCTTTTTTTAAACGTTCAGTCTCTTTTTTTATTCTCAACTCATTTTGAAGCTGTCGCTGTTTGGTTCGCTCTTCTTTTTTTGAAAGTTTCGTATCTATTGGACCCATGCTTCCACGTCTTCCTTTCTCTCTCTGAGCAAGAAGAAACTCTTTGTCTTCTTTTATAGATATAAGAGTCAAAGCATCTTTATGAGCAATATCAAATAAATTGTTAAAGTCACTGACGAAAACAGATTCCGCTTCTAATTGTTTTGATGTTCGTCGTGAAGCACTTTTTTTAATACTCTGCCACTTACAGTGTATTTTTTTTATTTTTTCAATAACGTGGCATTCTTTTTGCGTGGGAATTTTAGCTTTTTCCCAAAAAGCACTAACTTCTCTTGCTGTAATTGTAGCACTAGATTGAATAGATTTTTTTTCGTATTTGTGCAAATGAAAAAACCGGTGAAGCATTTGTTTATTAGACGGAAGTTTACTGCCGGTGATGGATTCAAGTGTCCCCCCAATTAACCAAATTCCACGATCTTTACTAGTGCTAGCCATATTATATTAATATCTAAAATATGTTATATACAAATGTAATACTACTTAGTACTTAGTGAATAAAAAAACTCAAATGAAACTTGAACGTACGAACTGGCTACTGACGTTCTGCGTATTGACGGAACAACATATACGAGACGATACCAATAAAATATACGAGTATGATTCACGACAAAATAATAATCATTACTGTAACAATGTTAACGTGTGAACCGGTGTACTACGAATGATGTGTAATCGGCGAGTAACCGTCGATAACGCGAGCGAAATTGCGATATCCATGCTATTAATAGCTTCGGAAAATAAAAGTGTTGCGCGACCTCTAAATATCAACCGAATGAAATATAACTTTCACAAAGTAAATATTATATCAAAATAAACATTTAAGGTGGGTGGGAAAAAAGAAATATTAAAATTTTTTTTTTCTATGTATTCGATTGTCACCCTAATATACATATATAATATTTACGTCCTGCAGAAATATTATGATTGTATGTTATTTTTGTATGTTTTAGCTTGCAGTCACCTTTATTGTATATTTATAATGACCTAAAGTTAAAGGTAGTGCATTAGTGCATAGCTTCAACGCTTTACGTCATAAAAAATGATAAATGAGCTATATGGCACCATTAGATTATTTTTAATAAAACAAAATCTGGTGAACTGAATACAAATAAGTTAAGAACTAAATAATGACATTTATTATAGTTTGACAAGGAAACCTCAAACGAAATCTTAGAAGTATTTTCACTACCCCAAAGACTGTTTTCTAAAAAAAAAATGCAACTTAAAGTAAAAATTAAAAAATAAAAGCATATTATAAAAATACTTTTGTATTATTACATGAAATCAAAGAACTCTTCAAATTCAAAATATTACATCTTGTGGATGCGATATTAGTTTTTAAGCTCTTTATCAATTCTATGGTATGAATTGATTTTAATTTGTACAAATATGTAATGTTTAAGAATAAATATGTGATATTATACATATTATATAAAATAATATATTTTTTTAACGTACATTCAAAAGTTACATATTGTACTTTGAATGTTCAACAGTTTTAAAAACCCTGCAAAAATTGATAAACAGTATCAATAAAAATAAAGAAAAATATTCCATAAACATAAAGTACATAAATAAAATACCATTTATTATATTTCATCTACCGCAAATTGAAGTCTAACATAGCTCTGCTGCATATTGTGATGATCGGTACAGTCATTTGTCACGATATTTCCGATATTATTTTCTTATTTAAAATATACCATAAATAAAAAATACAATATAATTATCACAACGAACTCTGATTAGACTTTAAAAGTTAAGACCCAGCTCTTATGATTTGTTTAAAATCCTTGTAAAATGTGGATTTTTGGTACATGGGAAAATATGACTGAAGCAGATTAGTCACATCGTATAACGTTAGCCATTACTAATACATACTTATCTAATTTAATTTAAAAGGAATTATTATCATATTCAGTTAGATTAAGTTTATGTTCACGAATAAGCGAACTGTATAGAGCATCACATCTATTAAAATTAAATTTGTTATCTCTAAGTTCAATCGCACAATCTCAGACAAATATAGTTTTTTTAATCAGAAAGTCAGAATTTATTTTAAAGCATTTAACCATGTATAATAACTAGTGTGCATACAACATATAATAATAAAAATGATAGAAACAGAAATATTTTCAAGAAAATTCTGTAGTTCTTTTTATTATGATAAATATATATTATTTTCAGTAACAATAACTATAATAATATTAGAAAAACTATGAATTGCAATCAATTTAAATTCTAGATTCTAAGCATAACAGATTGGTTTTATGTGGATGTATTAATTTTTTTTTATATTATTGTATAGATAATACATTTAACAGGTTATTTAATTTAACTTCCTTACCATTTCTTAAAACTAAAAATTGTTACTATCGAAGAATGCATTATTTGCATGTCCATAAAATTTATACAATATTTTAAAACCGTAAATAATTTTTTTAAAGCTGTATTTTCAGAATCGTATTTTATTTTATAATTTAGAAAAATATGGTAGACAGATTTATGCTACTTAAGTTATAAATTATAATTACATGTAAGATATTTGTTCAACTAATTTTTATTGATTGAAAAATGTAAAGGTATTTAAGCCTTTAATTACATTTTTCTGTAGTAGGTAATATTAATATTAATATTAATTTGATTGTAGTCATCGCTAAAAAAATATATAAAAATAGCTATGTTTATAAAATAAAAAAAAATTTTAATTGTGGACTTAAAAATTATTTAAATCCTAAGTATGAAAATATAAATTATTTATTTAGTTCAAAAACAAATTAAATATCACAGTTATATTTTATTTTTATCATCTGATAATAATTAGTTAATTCTACTAAGATAAATAAAATATTTAATTCATCAAACCCTTAATTTGAAACTGAATAACATATTAAATGTGTATTATATTATATAAATATAAAATAACACGTGTCTTAAAAATAAATTCGTATTAAATCTATTAATAAATAAATAAACTTACTGATACGTAATGAATTAATCAAATGTACAATTTACGGTCCTCTTGACTTTTAGGTCATTTTTGGCAAAACACTCCGAAAAGACTGACAGGTGAAGCTGACGCAGACCTCTAGCATCTCGGTCGTGTACCACACACAAACAGAAAATGGTTGCTATGGCATCAGTAACAACGCGTTGTGGCGCTTTTGCTCGACGAGTTTACCAAAAATGTATTTCAGTTATTATTATTTTATCAATGATCATTTTGTTCAAAACAAAAAAGCTCATTCTAAATATATCTACCATTGTACCTAGATATGCATTGAATTCCGTTGTAATTCGTTGAAAATTAAACTAATATTATGAGTTAAAATAAAAGTGATTGTGAAGAAACTATCTTTCGATCACTTGCCTTTATTTCCAGTCAGCCAGTTGGATATAACAATAATTAAATTTGAATAATATCAGAAATCATACAATTAATAAATAATATTTCAATACGATATTTAAAATACGATACTAATAACATTGTATATTTTATGTAATGTAATGTATTATTATTTAGGTGCTTTAGTATTATGTGTATTTAATAAGTTAGTTTGAAGTTTTGACCAACTATTCAAAATGGTTGAACAAATAACAATGAACTATGAGTTTTGTATGTAAATTCTTATGTTTCATAATGTAATTAATTATAATAACTATTGTCAAACGTAACGATTTAAATATATTTTATTACAATGATAATACATGACATGAATAGTAAAACTACTATTATATAAACTTTGTTTATTTTATTTTGAATTATTCATAAATTACAATAATACAAATTTTTTATATTCACGATTAAATTAATACCGACTTAACATGATTCGGTAAAACCAAAATTACTAATAATCATTATTTGATTTTAATTTTGACTTTTCTCCTAACATTCTTTCAAAACGAATTCAATGCATAGTTTACTTAATAAACATCATTTTTATTATTATTGCAATAATATTTAATTTAGATTCCTCACAGTATTTTAATTAAGTATATTTAAATAAAAATATAAAATTCATTTTTCAAGATTCTTAGTTTGAACTAGTAATTTTTTAGAGCCTTGTGTATTATTCTATATTCTCTAAATATCATGCCTAAAAAATTAATTGTATTAAAACGTAAAAATGAAGTTTTTAATTTAATTTATTTTCACCAAACAAGCATTCATTCAAGTTTAATGGTGTTTTGACCAACGTATCCCTGGGCGACTGTTAACAATGGTTCTTAAGAAAAAAGTTTTTTTATGAATTGCTGAAAACGAAAATAATTTAGTTCAGAATTGTAGTAAGATGTTAACCATGTACAAACCTATTCGAGGAATAACAGTTCTATTATGGATTAATACTATATTTAACATAGTTTCATCTCAAAATTTACAGACAGTTAATATCCGTGAGTTAATTGTTGATTACTTATATAAAATATAAATATAAAAATAATGTATGTTTTGCTGTTAAAACTATAAAATATTGAACTCATTTTGGGATTTCAATAGTCTTCATAAATGATCGAACTAATGAAGTGGCCGAAGATACTCTGAATGTGGCGTTAAATTATATTCGAAGGAATCCAAGGGTTGGATTGATGATTGATGGTTTATATTCTGTGAAAATTGGCGGAGACGATGCTTCGGCTATATTAGAAACACGTATGATATTGTATTTTAAAAATGTTAAGCTTACATCTATAAATCAAACCATTTTCAAAATATTTATTTTCATTTATTTTTAAAGCAATAATATTTTATGCTATCTATAAAATAACTTAAAATAATATCAATGACGAAATAATAAAATTGACTTTATTTCGTACTAAATTCATATAACTTAAATTAATACCAAAATATTAATGTTGAAAAAAATCTGATTTGATTTGTTTGTTTAGTATATTTTTCCGTTAACTTAATGTTTGTCTTCACATATAAATTTATTCATAAATACATTTATGAACTATAAAATTATTGTAGTCTGTAAAACAACATAATACCTACTATGTAAAAGTATAAAAATTCAATAAATACATTTTTTAAAAGGAAAAGTAATTTACATACTGCTATAGCTATAATAATATTTAATAATATCGTTTAAGTAAAAAACCGATAAAGTTTACTAAACTATATCGTAAATACATAATTGACAAGACAGTAGTAGTCAGAAGAATAAAGAAACTTATTTTAAATAAAAAATATACTTTAGAAACTATTTTATTTTTACTTTAGAGATAGGCACGTAAGAGGAAAACTACCTGTACTTTTTTTATAATATTATCCCATCCTAATTACACTCCTTTCCTAATTATCACATAAAAGCCATTAAATCTTCATAAACACACATTGTACCTATTTATTGTTTTGTACTTTTTTCAATTCAACCACTGGTCGGAATATGATTTTAACTAACTTAATAAATAATACACAAATTATTACCACTGTAGGTTAAAGTAAAAAATGATTAGAAATATACATACAATATTATGTACTTACTGAAGAGGACGACGTCATACCCGTATATTTTGTTCTCCGTCTTACTCGCTTACGACACAGCAATTAATGTTCGTTCACTAATAGTTTCAATAGTGTGCTATTGGTTTTGATATTTTAAATTAATCAATGCCCATGAATACTTACCATTTATGTGAAAATATTCTTCTTCTTTTTCTTTTATCAGCCATTAAACCATCTCATCACACATCCAATCCTCGAGTTTTCCATATCAGAGACACGTGTTATCCAGAGGTTCTACATATTTTTTTGATCATATTTGTGCGCCTCAAATGGGTTTTACCAATTGGCCTTTTCCCTATTGATTCTCTTCTGTAATAGTGACTACACGAGAGTTTTGGCTTCATGTGTGTCTAGCCTACTTTAATCTTCGGCCCCTGATTGTGTGTCCAATATGTTTTATTTCTGGAAGAATCCTCCATCTCGATATTTTTCCTAACTCTCCACTACTCCGTCTTCTATGTGCTAATATGTACTTGATAATTTATGTTATCGTAGAAATTATAAATATAAATTTAAAAAAAAATTGATTTTGACCAAATGAACGTTATATATCAATTACTGGTGGAACTAATAAGCTTTTCTTAATGCATAATTATTTGTTATGCTTGTAATTACCGTTTTAAAAATGTAGTTTGTGTAAACTATAATGCATCAATTCGCAACAATAAACCACCACATCTAGTCATCGACACAACAATTAATGGGGTTGCATCAGAAGCTGTGAAATCATTTACTGCGGCTTTAGCATTACCTACTGTCAGCGCATCATATGGACAAACTGGTGATATAAGGTGATTAGATTACTTTGATAAAAAAAATTGTATAAGTGATGGCAATTATATTATCATATTCGAAAACGCAATTCAGTGAAACTTGATGTACTCAAAAAAAATCAATTTAGTTACTTATCTATAACCTATATATAGTTTATAGGTATAACTGTATTAGAAAATAACTTTTATGTAAGTTTACAAATCAATTTTTTATATCAAAACTTTTAAATTATTTTTCTTAATCGATATAATTTTGATAGTTCGACGTCGATTAATAATATCTTAAACTCGCGGCAAATGCAAAAACGAGCATTTCAAAATAATATTGTGGCACTAAAAAAATGTGAACAATTATTCGTTATTTTTTTTATAAGTAATAAGTACTTGTAGTACTGGAATTCTTAAAAAAATTGATTCCCAAATTTCTAATTTAAAATATTGTTAGTATATTATTTAACTTTCGAAACAATCCTAACCAAACTAAAGTCTCTAATAATTAATGAATATGTAATTTCAAATTTATTTCCTGAAAGTAATTCATTACCCTATTTTTAGATTAGATCTAGATATTTTTTATTTTTTAGACAATGGAGAAATTTAGACGGAGAACAACAAAAATATCTGATACAAATAAGTCCACCTGCAGACCTTATACCAGAAATAGTAAGAAGTATTGTGGTAGCACAGAATATAACAAATGCTGGCATAATGTTTGATGATACATTTGGTATGTAAAGTAAAAACTGTATTAATTATGAATAAAAATGAGATATGATTTATAAGAAGGACGGAAATGATAAAATTATTGTTTTCGTGTGTTAACATAATTAATATAGTTTAAGAAATTATGCCGGGTGATTCATTTAACGTGGGACAAACATTATTCAAAAAAAATTAATGTTTTTGGAAATAATTTTTGTACATGGTTTCGGATCATTACGAAAGCAGAACATTTTTCTAAATATTTCGATAAATAAAACCCGTATTTAGGATTAGTACTGTCTGTTTTCCTTGAAAACAATTTTAAACCGTTATTTTTTAACGACTAAAAACCATGTAAACATTTTTTCCAAAAATATTTATACTTCTCAAAATAATGAGTGTTCAATAATGAAAGAATCAACAGATATAAATACCTATATTATATTGAATAAACAGTATGATCACCAAGCATGCAGGACCCCTATTTTTCTTTTAATTACCTATCTTATCATTTATTCGAACTCTGATTATTGAAATTTGTAAATATACTTTTAGATCATATTTTCAAATTCTTAATAAGTTTTGTACTACTCAAAGAGTGCCCTATGGGCTATGGAAGATTCAAACTTCTGTTTTTCAAATGATAACTCCCATTTTTATTGTAAATTATTTAGTAGATAACTTCTTTGAAAATGTTTATGTACCTAATTTGAAATTTGAACTATTAGTTATTCAGTTATTAAAATATTTAAACTAAGGATAAAAGTCCTTAAAAATGGTTTTACAGAAATATAAAATATATTTAATATTGGATAGGTATATCATTATTATACTCATAAATTATACATATTGATAGATTTATAAAAATTACCATACCTTATCATCTCAATTCTTCCAAACTCATTTTCAAAGACCTGTTATCTATCATTCACAAAGTTAAATAACTCAAAAAATGATCTGCTTAATTATTTACAGTAAAAAAAAGTTAGTAAAGAGGTTGTCATTCGAAAAATACAAGTCAGTATCTCCACAAGAAATCGTTTAATAATACAAAAAAAATCTCATGAATTTTAAAATATGGTATCTAAATAGGTGTGGGTAATTAGGTACTAGACCTACTTAAAAATTCCAAAAATCAGATTTTTGAATAACTTTATTATTAAAGAAGAAAAGGGGTTGGTATGCTTAGTAAATGTTCCTGCATAATATATATTTAATATATAATATGTAGTTTATAAATAACGCTTAGCTTATGTAATACAATATCATTCCAAAATATATAATGTCATTGATTATGTTATAAAAACTATAAACATTTTGAAGTATTGTACAGTTTAATTATGTTTTATGAAACATAAACAAAAAATTAAATTATAGGTATCACAAGATTTCAATTATTGTAAAAATTAACCAGTGGAAAATGTACCTACATCACAATATAATTTTTGTTTTTAAAGACTAACTTATAAGTTAAAATATATTACAGATACTGTTTTGTGCAAATACAAATACTTATTACATTTTACAGAATGGGGTAACATTAATTTTATCAAACAAAAATATAATAGAGATACTCTTATAATAATTTTAAAATATACACGTATATGTAATGATACATAATAATATGTAAACAATAGATAATATTATTAACTGTATTTAATGTAACTAACTAATGTTTTAAATACATTTGATAATGTTATATATTCTAGTAATGGATCACAAGTATAAGTCGTTACTACAAAATATTCCGACTAGACATATTATAGCTGCTATCGATGACACTACCAGCATTAAACTACACTTAACTAGATTCCGTGATGTAGATATTGTCAATTTTTTTGTATTGGGAAAATTATCAATTATTAAATCTGTTTTGGACCACGCGAATTCCAATAAATTATTTGGTCGAAAATATGCATGGCATGTAATCACACAGGTAAAAAAGTATACAAATTGGAAACAAAAATATTCATATGATCCAATGTATATTACTAAACAATAAGATGATGTTTTTTATTATTATTTTATTTATTTATTTATGATATGAAATCTATACCTAAGGTACAATATACTATGTACATATCTGATATCTGTGACTTAATGTTAGGACTAGAATGATACAGTTATCAATTAGTGTATGTGATTAAGTAAGGGTGAATGTATACATATTAATATTAATTATTAATCACGTTAATGAAGTAAAAATAAAAATACGATAGCATTAGAAGTGAGAAATTAATTGTCCATTAATGACACTCACTGTAGACTTTTCTCCTTTTTAAACTAGTAATAACATAGACAGTTTGAAAGGGGGAGGGGGTCAAAAAAATCAAGATACTAAATCAGATGATTTTAATTTATTTTATACAATCATTATATATATAATTATATCGATACGCTGAATCCATCTAAATATCAAATAAAAAAAATTATTGTACATTTCGAATTTGTAAATTCTTGTCAATATTCAAAAACTATTGAAATACAGAGGGTAAGTGATTGTCGTGGTTGCTCGGTTGTATAGTATGTGATAAGTGGGTCACTGTAATGGATGGTGTTAAATTTGAATTCAAACTATTGAGTGCAACTTTTTTTTAAATTTTTGATCTTTAGCTACATAAGTAGAAAATTTTATAAATGTTGACTGCAAAATAATTTGTACATTTTCAATTTGTTAAATTTCGTCTAACTTTAAACACCTACATATAAAACAAAACCACACCTATGTATTTTTAATATATTTCAACTGATATTGTAACAATATACCTATGCCTTCAATTAAATTTTCAACAAATTCAATTATATTGACATTTATAAAAGAAAACTAAAAAATTTAAAATGTCCGTTAACTGCTCAAAACGAGTCAAAACATTTTGAAAATTGCATGGTGTATATAAAATGAGAATTTAAACATTCAGTAAAAATTTCATGTATCTACGGTATTTTTTTTTAGAGTTACACAAAAAACCAAAGTCGATTTTGTCAAAAACTAATTTTACATAAAAATTCAGTTTCTCCTTAAGTTTTTGTTTGTTTTTCCTGCCACTTTTGAAAATGATTGGAAATTTCTTTTTTTACCTCAAAAAGTACCATCTAGATTCACCATCCTACCAGATAATCGTAAGATGCTGTCACAGAAATTCATTTGCAGGCACACAAAAAAATAAAAAATAAATATAAAAAAAACACATCGTCGTTGTAAAATCAATACACTCATCTCTTCTCTCAGAATCCAATATATTAAACTATTATGCACTTAGCAAAAATATTATTAACTTTATAAAAGTTAAAATGTCCTGCAAAATCTACTTAAGATCTACCTTCTTTGAAACTTTTAAACTTGTGTAATTTGTTTGTCTCAAGTGCTCCAAACATTCAGTTTGACATTTTTAAATTTTAAAGACGCCCGGTGCTAATGTGATTTTGTCCTCAAAAACACATTTTACGGGAATAATAATTCTGCCCCGTAGAATCAACCAAATTTGATTATTTTTTTTTAATTGATAGAGGAAAATATTTTACAACCCGCATACAAACTTCGTTTTCCATATTTTTTAATCTCAAACTTTATTATAACTTATAAGTCTTTAAAAAAAAGAAAATTCTTAGCTTTTTTTACAAATTATTTTATACTATTATTTAAATAAAATAAAAATCTGAGTTTAATGTGGGCTGTAAAATGTTGTTTTTTATCAATTAAAAAAGAAATTATCTAAAAATATTACCGGGAAGTCATTTTAGTCGTTACTGCTGAAACGGACAGCAAAATATTTTGTTATTTGATAGTTTAATGAAATTTACCTGTGCACTAAGTGCAGTAATATTTAAAAACAATAAACGATGTAACACTTGTAAAGCTAATAACCTGTGTAGTTAATGCTTAAACAATAAAGAAAAAAATAATAATTAGTATAAAAGTGTGTATCTTAATACTAGTAAGTAGTAAATAATGTATAGCACCTAATATAGGTACTTAAAACTAATACGAGTATAAAGCAAGGGGGAAAATATCACACAATAATTGGTAAACAATTTTGTACTTGAACCAACAATGGTTGTTCATCCTAAGATTTACCAAATTTCGTTTGTAAAAGTCCGAACTACATAAATCATTCGGAGTTTGACCAAACTATTTTGTTTATCCTAGGTTTCACCGATATTCGTACTTTTACCTAATGTATACACTTATAACCATTTACGCTTCTACATACTCATAAGATCATGCGACACCGAAACGGTATGCGAATTACATTGCTAATAATATGCTCCTTAATAAATAGCCGGCATTGGAGCCTTGGAGGCCTTAAGATATTTAATACAACTTTGGTGGAGCTAAGTAGAGTGTTCCAGAGTTTACTTTGCATAACCTGTTTAAATTATCCTTATTGCAGATAAACTAAGTTTAAAATATAATACGATATGCGAATAAATGCAAATATATATGTTTTTACAATTTATGACTGACAAGAGATAGCCATTTACAACTAATTATCATTCCAGTCATTTGGTAAACTAAATAAAAAAAATGAATTCTGTGAACCGTCATATTTACGTAAAATACATACACTTCATAAACCCTAAGTTGGCACTTGGCAAACATATAAAATAAAATATAATAATATCATAGCACGTTAAATATAGTCATTAATAACTAATAAATTAAGATTCACAGTAGTTAATCGTAGTTCCGGAATGGATTATATTCAATACTCTTCATGTGTAAAATTACGAGAGATCACAGTACAATAACTACAACACTGAATAACTATTTCACTAAATTTAAGGTAGGATCAAACATCTATTTTGTGAATAGGATAAAGGATCACTGAAATGTGGCTGTTCTAATGCTACTATTTTGTTCGTAAAACCTGAGCCGGATGCTGGAAGTCGAGAAAAATTATCAAATTTAAGGACTACATATGGTTTGACATCAACTCCAGAACTGAAAGCAGCATTTTACTTCGATTTTTACTATCGATCCTTGTTAGCAATCAGGTATATAACAATATTCGCAATCATAATACATTAATGCGTCATATTACAGAATTTAAATCATTTCAGCTGTTATAATATTAAGCACAATATTTTACCTCAATAATTATTATTTATTTATATAAGTTTATAATACGGAAATGAGTAATTTTAAGTTTAAGCTACAACTATTGCTATTGAAGCGTCATTTAAATTTGATAGAATTACATAAAAATTTGTTAAACATTAGGTTAACATTTAAAAATGTATTATTTTTAATTTAGTAAATATTGTATTTTATAGGTCAATGATGAATAGTGGGGAATGGCCAACTAATGTAACTTACACTACATGCGATGAATACAATGAAGAGAATCCACTTCCACGAAGAAATGTCGATTTAAGAAGATATTTAAAAGATGTGAGTGATTACAAATCAAAAACTCAATGATAATTAATTGTTTGTACCTACTAATCGAATATAATGTGTTCACGAACTTAAGATGACAGAACCGCCCTCCTATGCACCATTTTTAATAGATACAAATGGACACAGTTATGAAGAGTTTACAATGAGACTAGAAAAAGTCACAGTATTAAACAGTCAATCAGTAAGCGCTGAAAACGTGGGTTCGTGGAAGGCGAGTCTCAATTCACCGATCATTGTAAAAGATGCCGCAAATATGACACATTTTTCCGCCGTCACTGTATACAGAGTAGTCACCGTGTTGGTAATTAATATTTATAGAAATACATAACTTTTTGTTCTATTATATAGCCATGTATGGTAAAGTCAGATAGTATAATGTATACATACTACACTCTGTTCGGGGAGAGAACACGAGAACCTAATCTTACAAAAATAGGTTCTTCTGCGCATCCATGGCAAAGTGTCGTGTGGGAAATGAAGATGTGCTAAGTCTGCGTACTTTCTCACTGGACAGAGTATATTATACCTACTAATTATGATTTTAGTTATAATAATTATTATTATTATAAATATTCATTAATAAACTTAAACATTATTTTTCAAAACAGTATAATTATGCATTTATTTAATACTATAAAAATATATAATTCGTTTCAGCAAAATCCGTTTATGATACAAGTTGATGACGAAGATGGTAAAGGTGTAAAATTTAAAGGTTACTGTATTGATTTAATCGAAGAAATTAGAAAACTAATTGGTTTCGAGTACGAAATTTATATAGCCCCAGACAACAATTTTGGTAATTTAAAAATATAATAATATTATAATAATAAAACCAATGAGAATTGAATTTCATTATTGATATGAAATATTTTATATGTTCAGGTAATATGGACGAAAATGGACAGTGGAACGGAATGGTCAAAGAACTTGTCGAAAAGGTAAACATAATTTAAAATAATAACGTCCATTCAATTTTATTGTAAAGCAATTTTTTTATAGAGAGCTGATATTGCACTGGGCTCCCTGTCAGTTATGGCCGAGAGAGAAAATGTTGTTGATTTTACGGTCCCTTATTATGATTTAGTCGGAATAACAATTTTAATGAAAAAACCACAAACGCCAACTTCGTTGTTTAAATTTCTTACAGTTCTAGAAAACGATGTATGGATGTGTATACTTGGAGCTTACTTTTTCACCAGGTGAATGACACGTATAAAAAATTTACCTTTATGAGTATGTTTAATGTAAACATAGATATTTTATAATATACATGCAATTTCAATGTAAACTCATGGTATGAATATTTTCTATATTAGTTTTTTGATGTGGGTATTTGATCGCTGGAGCCCATATAGTTACCAAAATAACAGAAATAAATATAAAGATGACGAAGAAAAAAGAGAATTCAACCTTAAAGAATGTTTATGGTTCTGTATGACTTCTTTGACTCCACAGGTAATATTTTCAATAATAATAAGCAAGATAAGACAAATAAAATAAATGTAAAAAAAAATCACTTCTAAAAATATGTAATATAACTATTTAATACTTGTAATTTAATTACAAAAACCAAACAATTGTTTTGCCTTACTATTTTTTAGGGTGGAGGTGAAGCGCCTAAAAATCTTTCCGGTAGACTGGTTGCTGCTACATGGTGGCTTTTCGGATTTATAATTATAGCTTCTTATACGGCTAATTTGGCAGCTTTTTTAACAGTTTCTCGATTGGACACTCCTGTAGAATCATTGGACGATTTGTCTAAACAATATAAAATACAATACGCTCCATTGAATGGATCATCAGCAATGACTTATTTTCAAAGAATGGCTGACATCGAAACACGGTTTTATGAGTTGAGCACCAAAAGTTTTTAAAAATATTAATACATCCACATGTTTACTTAATGAAAATACCCAAATATAACTTTACTTAGTTATAAACATAATATGTTTAAGATGTTACCCAATGTTCCAATATAAGGTACTTGTCGCTCGAGTCGTCGGGCCTACCGCCGTTGCATGAGAGCCCGTCGGTGCCGACATTATATTATACTAGAATAGATGTTATTATCTTAAACAAATCAGAAACTAAATACAGAAACTTAATAACTAAGTATAAGTGCACTCTAGTGACATCCTTGAAATAATTAAATGACATGAATGTATTTAAAAAATAGTTTAATTATTTTTTTAAATAATAATATGCACTTGAATATTGTGTAAATATCTTACATATTTTATAAAACTATGATAGTATATACCTACCTATTTATAACTTATTAAAATGTTACGCAAACAATCCTTTATGTCAAAACAGTAAACACTTATATTTTCATAATTTTAGAATATGGAAAGATATGAGTTTAAATGACAGTCTGAGTGAAGTAGAGCGAGCGAAATTAGCTGTTTGGGATTATCCAGTAAGTGACAAATACACAAAAATGTGGCAAGCAATGAAAGAGGCTAAGCTACCAAACACTTTAGAAGAGGCGATTGAAAGAGTTCAAAGTTCTAAATCATCTAGTGAAGGATTCGCTTACTTAGGTATTACATGTTTTAAGATGTATCTGCTACTTATAAAATATTACTGTCAAATAATATTATATTGAATGCGTTAGTGAAACGAGAATATTTTTCTATTTTAGGAGATGCCACAGATATTAGGTATCAAGTAATGATCGATTGCCATTTACAAATGGTCGGAGATGAGTTCTCTAGAAAACCATATGCTATTGCTGTTCAACAAGGATCTCCGTTGAAAGATCAATTCAACAACGCAATTTTATTATTACTCAATAAACGAAAATTAGAAAAATTGAAAGAGACGTGGTGGAATCTGAACCCAGAAAGAATACAATGTGAAAAACAAGATAATCAATCTGATGGCATCAGTATCCATAACATAGGTCATACATTTTTTTTTACTTACCTAACACATTCGCTAAATCGCAAAAAAAAATGACAGCACGTATGACGGGTTATAAAGTTTATGTGAATCGGCACCCTTTTCTAAAAAACTGCTTTCGTAAAAAGTAAAACATATTATTAAAATCCATTTTTTTTTTTTTTATCTCGTGGAACAGGCGCGGATCCAAGGGGGGGCCAAGGGGCCATGCCCCCCCCCTCCCGTAACTCACGCTTAAATGGACTTGCATTACTTGCATTTTTATCAGACTTATAGGCTGAAATTTTATTTAAGATGGCCCCCCCTTAAATATATTCTAGATCCGCGCCTGTCGTGGAACGTCTAAACGCTATTTAACTCACAGTATGATACTGATTTAATAAATGAAACGTATTTTCATCAAATAAATACACCCGCCAATAATAATACTAATTTCCTATTTATACGTATTGAAAATAAACAAATAAGTTCAATAAAGAAAATCCCAGGAAAAACAGGTAAGTGTATTTGTAAATGGATTGAACGAGTAGTCTTTTCAGTGCAAATGTATGTGTGAAAATAGAAATTTTCTGCAGTGTGTTTAGAGCACATTGATAGCTACCGCTACAATATCTAGGTGTCGGATATAGCAGCCAATAAGTGAACCGTTAAATGTTGACATCAAAATTATCAAAATCGACATGTTTATGTCGATTATAGCCAACAGGCACAGCGAATGTGTTAATATTTAACATTTTTGACTTTCAATGTTTGTTCATACTAATGAACTTAACTAATCAAAACAAAACAGACTACAGCTTTATGCATTATTTAGGTGTATCATATATATTCTTACGACGGCTGTAATGTTTAATGAACTCCGTCGATCTAATAGAAAATAAAAACTTTTTTTTTTTCAAACTGTATCTCTTATGTTTATATACATATACGATATACTTACTATTTGCATGTTATACATGAATATTCTGATTTTTAACTTGTATAATATGTATACTATGTAGGTAGGCAATATACGCAGATGGTATAGTATTATTATGTTCCTATAGTACCTACCTATTATAATCTGAAAGCAAAATGAATTATATAGCAGGATGAACTCGAAATAAGAGTCATTTATTTTCAGACAACTACTGATTGTACATAACTTTATAAATGGTTTTTAGAGGAGGTTGACTCCTTAAACATTTTGCTTAAAGGGTCCCATAAAACAAAACTTATTAAACCTATTATATTATTCAATCTATTCATGCTTGAAAAACCCTTATCAGTTATCTTAGTCTAAGTTTCATTCAAAAACATACTAATATAAATTTAAAATAATAGTAAAATATATCTCTATACCTTTTGAATTTCGTGTATACTCCCCACAATGATTATTATAAATTATAATACCTTCATAGGTAAGTAGATATGATTTTTAGGGTTCCCACTCGTACTTCCTAAAACGGATAAAACTTAATTCTGTATTTATTAACATAACAAATTATTATATACAATAATATATCAATAGGCAATCGTCCAATAGGTACCAACGTATACCGACAAAAAACTCTTCAGATCAAAATGTAACAATACGAAATTAGGTGATACCTAATTCGTATAATATTTATCAATTTATCAATTTATCAATTTATGTCTATTGTATTATAAGTAATATTTTTGTTTATTATGACCTATAGGTGGAGTTTTTATTGTTATATTTGTTGGAATTGGATTAGCTTGTTTCACACTAGCATTTGAATATTGGTGGTATAAATATAAAAAAAGCTCGAAAGTTGCAAACACGATGAATCCAAAACAAATGACAATGAATAGAGGTGGTGAATTTACATATCCAGTGGTACCGACGTTCAATGCAAATTCTGGAATGAGATCAAGAAGTATTATTCATGGCTTTAGGTAAATAACATAATATATTATGCACAATAATTATTTTCCAAAATAAATATATTTTGAAATATCGCACATTGTGTAAATAAGAATTTAATTTTAATTAAGAAAAAATATTTTATTTCTAGACAATCTGTTGGTCAGTCTTCACCTAAACAAAAATAATGGAATCATGCATATGTTACTTACTAACCTACGGTCTACAGACATTCAATATAATGTTGTAATATAATAACAAAGAACAATAAATTAATAATAGAAAGACGATTTCTAAATTCCTTCATCCACAAGCCGCACGACTATTGTTCAGTCAAGCATAGGTTTGGTATTATCCACTTAGTGGATAGAAAAGTAGAGGCTAATTTATTTCTGATATAATCCTTCGGAGGCTGATGCGTGAACATATTGATCCTCTTCCTTTGCTCTCCTAAACAAATTTTAAGGCCTATACCTCTTTACTCAATCCCAAATTCTTTTTAATGCACCTATTCATACCTCACATTAAGTTGCGACAATCAATTAGACCGAATGATGCGTCTGATCAATGAACATTGAGCATCCTCATTTCCAGTCAATTGTATTTTATTTTATTTGTATTTGTTATTTGTTACTGATCTTATATTAGGTACTTAACTAATTCGTTCATTGGTGTAATTTATTACTATTTTAACTGCTGTATGTTTTGTTTATTATTTTATGTGCGTATCCGTTATCAATATTTTATTGTACTATATTGGGCCTTATACCGATAAAATGAATCTCTAATAAAATAAAGAAAATAACAATAATATGTTACGCTCGCTTTTTCGAAATTATTATCAATCTTCGATCTTTAACTCTGCAGATACCCCAAACCATAACTTTGCTGTTTGAATATTTTATAATATTATTCATTGGCGCCAAAGAGAAACAACTAATTATAGGTACATATTCAAATTTCAAATCATAAGATTTTTATAAAGTAGGTTGTAGCTGTATAGAATATAGATATGAGCATTATACTAAGATACTTAGTCATTAGTCTATGGATATGATTTTATAGCACTCGAAAACGTATATGTGAGCCCCGTATGTTTATGCAGTAGGTTGTAGGTAGCATAGGCGTGGGCGAGAAGGATGCCGAGTAGTTTATAACATTGCCTTCAGAGTTATCATAATCATAGATTTTAGATGTAAATGTTTTTATTAGAATCATAAACCAAGATCGTTCTTAATATCCTAGTTCATGAATAGAATTTAAATGCGTTGATTATTATTTTTTTCTTATAAAAATATTTGACGAAATCAAATATTAATTAGATTTTCATAATCACCACATATAGACAGTACCTATAAACAATAAAATAGTTTGGTAACTCGTGATAATATAATTGAAGTCAAAATAAACCATTTTTGTGAGAATTAAGGGTTTTGTCACAGAACATTTCGGTCTCTGCACTATTGCTTATTTTCATACTATACTATGAAAAATAAAAGAATTTTGACTTATTAGAATATTAGATTATTATTTTTTGTCATTATTATATAACTATTATAAAAAGATTATATAGCATTTATATACTGTTTTGTTTATTGGGGTGGAATTTATATTCCTATTTACATTATTTTATTTTATTTTAATTTCATCATAAAAGATGATTACACCATGAGACAAACAATACAGGTAAATGAAATAAACCGAATACATTTTCAATTTAGTACCTACATAAAGAAAAAAAAATTAATTAATAATGTGATTACATGAATAAAAAGAACCAGAAAAAATACAATAGAATAAGTTATACCTAATATTATAAACATAAGACATTATGAATTAAAAGTATTAATACATGTATTATGACACGAGTTATTTATATTAAGAGTTTTTGGAGAGTTATTTTTTTTGTATTGAGTTAGGTAGGTAGTTATACTTAAAAATTCCGGCAAACCTGCTCAAAAAGTCTGTGCACGCTTATGGTACCTTGGTAGTAATAGAAAATACGATGATGAATATTGACTAACCTAACCTAACCTAACCTAACTGACAAATGTTCACTGTTTAACTATCTGCAAATATTTAAAATTGAAATACATAATTTATTAGAGTAAATTATTTTTTAAATTTTTGTATTAATTTATTTAAGTACATTTTAAGTTTTATATTTTATGCTATAGGATAAATTTAAAAATAGATTAAAATATTATGCTGTTAACATATGCATTAATCGTTAATGATGAGAAACCGTTTGACCCAAATTTGAACCCCTAAAGCTAAGTTATAGTTAAAAAAAACCTTACTTTTACACAATATAGAATACAATATTATTTAGTATGTCAAAACACTCCCAAGGTTTTTATTTTTTAGTAAAAAATATTTGTCATTGTGACAAAAAAAATTAATGATTAAAATATTAAATGATTTCAAAAAATAAAAACTTTACGACACACAAGTAGGTAGGTATAACCTATACACCAAATATTTTCTTCTGTATAAAATGTTTTTTTTTCGCGTGAACGTATTTAATAATTTTTAGTAAGACATTATAAACTACATTTATTATCGACTGTAAGCTACCTTTGTATTTGAATTAATATTGAGAGAAATATAGTTTTATGATATTTTTACTTAAATACGGTTCTTATTTTGTATTTGTACCTACCTATCGGCTATCTATATTAAAAAATATATATTTTAGATCCGATGGAAATAAGGATAATTGGTTTTACATCTTGACAATAATGTGTTTTTACGTACGTATAACGCCTTACGTAAATCCTTTTTGGATAGGATATTAGGATTACTTTGAAAGTTTCGTACGATCGCCATTGGAATTAGAAATAAGACACAGATGGTTTACTTTTAGAATTTATTTTATTAAGTAGGTACCTACCTACTATTTCTTTTAAACTTTTTATCGAGCAATTTTATAATACACATAAGTTTTCCTAACTATTTATTTTCCAATACAGGTTTTTCTATATAGTCCTTAGATATACATTTTAGAGTGTATACATCAATGAAAATTGTACCAACGGTTATCAGTAGGTAGGTACTTACCTAATGGCTAATATAGAATGCATATAGGATATTGAAAATAAGGACCTGTGGCCTGTTTAAATGCCAGTTATCAAATTATTAATTTTTATACTTTTATATTATAAGGTATTTGAATCACTAATTATTCTCTATTACCTACCATAAGTGGCCATATAGTTAAAAAATATTATCCTTCCTAACGTATGGCTATTTAAATCTAACATGTTCATTTCTCGAAGTATATAGTAATGTGTCTTACTTAAGTTACAGCCATAAAATTCACCTAGCCTAAGTGAAATTCAACTACACAAACTTTAAAAACGTCTTTTGTACTTTATATTAAATAATAAGCAGATTTTTGTTCAAAATCGTTACGAATTATAATTAATTGAAAATTGTAAGCATTGATGGGTAGTTCTTCCTCGTAAATAAATAAAATAATAATAATAAAATGATAAAATAAATATTGGATGAAAATGTCTACTAAATTGTATTATGAAAATAATTTTCAAATTTTCGAGATTTTGACGATTTTCGTAATTTTAACGCAACTATCATTATAAAATTAATACATTCATCGCTTCGCTCAGAATCTAAAACTAGGTAATTAGTTTATATGTTGATATATAATTATCGACTATAGTACCATTTAAAATTATAAAGTATACCTACCTAATGTCTCTACTCTCTATGATATTTATTAAATTCGGATATAATATTATGCATAAATATACACGCGTACCTATGTGACATCAGAAATGCAAAGTTGTTTCATTTCCAGACAATAAAAAATTTAAGTATTTATAGTGTCATGATCATAAAAGTTAAGGCATTATTGTAGCTGCTACATACCTACTTGTATATGAAGGCAATATATATATAATAATTTATAAGTTACATATTCTCAAATGTAGAGCTAACTGAGCTAAGGCGTGGAAAAATGAAAATGTTTTTTGCAATTTATTCTGTTCGGCGCCACAGCTGATATCATACATCGCTGTTTAGTGGGAACGAGTCCACATTGGAAGTATAAAACAATAAGACAAAAGCAAACAGAATTTTAAATTCAGAATAACTGTATATAATATCATAAGCCACACACGCCACAATTGACGTACGGTTACAGACAGGCCAACAATCTATCTTTATCGATGAATAATATTTTTTAATAACAACAATGTTTATTTTTGTAAATAGTTTTTCTTTTGGTGCGTAGAATATATCTCACGCAGTATAATTATCAAATTACCAAAAAAAATAAATAATAAAAGGATATAATTATGATAATATAAGTTTGTAAATATTTGCAGCCCTTTGATAAGCTAAAGCTTGATAGAGGGTTTTTTTTTTAAAGAGTTCACAAAAACACTAAGTAGGTATACAAATAATTATTATGGACAGTCATAAAGCTTATATTATTTCAATTTCATTTAAATTAACGTGTCTTAAACGAGGCTTAAAATGACTTAAATTATGAAAATCAAATATATTCTTTTAAAAATTCTGCATAAATGTAGATATATCAACTGGAACAGATTTTTTTGAGCCAAAATGTTTGTAGAATTCAAGAACTTTTACATTAATACGTTTTTTGTATCTAGTGCAATATTCATGCGTGTATTTTATGTAAAGCAATTAATATATTTTTTAAACACAACGCTTTGATGTTGTATACATTATTTAGTTCATGGTACACATATTCATTATTTGTATATTTTAGTTTATTTAACAAGATTTTAATTCGACTATTATTACAGTTAATTTTAAAAATCATTTTATATGAGTCATATGCCAGATCCCATACAGTTATCTATCCCATAATTCAATATTGATTGTACAAGAGATGTGTACAAATCCTTTTATTCGTACGTACATTAAATATATTTCTTAGATGATGATCTCATTTAAGTTTATTATCTATTGTGTTATACTTAGGTATTTAATTTTTTTTCACAGATTGCAAAGCAATAGAATTTTTATTGGATATATTATGAATACTTGATGAACTGACTCCAAGGTTTTTGGTTAAATCTTCCTAATCTTCCCAAAAATATCCTGAAATATTTTTCCAGTATACGCTCCTAGTCTGAATAGCATTGATGTTTCTAAATTTGAATTTTCAAGCGCAAACCGACAAACTTATGATAGTAACTAGTAAGCATAGGTATTACTCACTGGCTGCTACTACATGCCTGGTAGAAATCTAAGGCTACAGACTTAAATTATATAATTCAATAAATTAGCATTTTATGGGCATAGATTTAATGTGGCTTAGTTTATGACAATATAACAAACATTTTAATTTTTAATAGTTTTTCATTAAAAATTCTACAGCATTGTTGATCGCTGAATGTTATATCTATTGTACAAATTATGTTCACATTTAATAATAAATAAATGTTTTTAACAATTGTCAATTATGATTGAACAATTAAAATTATTTAATTTCAATGAATTAGATAAATAAACGTAATTGGCTGATCAAGTGTCATTTTTAAAATATCACATTGTTATCGATCTTGTACATCATCTAACTATTCATATTTTGAGCCCTCTTTTATTTTGTATGTTCATATTCTATATATATTTATATATTATACTAAATTCTTATATGGACCTTATTTATCTTAGTCTGTTCAAAATATTAACTACATGTAATGTTACAAACCTCATATCTTTGTTATATTACAACTAAAAATTATTATTTTACAGTTAATATTAATAATACCATAGAACAGTACCTAGTACTATATATTTAATACTACTTGTTATTTACATAATTGGCGAACTGTCATAGTTATTACTAGAAGCTAATAAAAAAAAAATGACGAATAATAGCACTATATCTTTAAACCACCCACAATTTTAAATTATAATATAAGTTTAAGTTTTATATAATCTGTGATACACTGATACTACACCCATCAGAAATTATAAAATTAAGCAAATAATGAAATAAGTGACTTCATATGTCATAGACTCTTCTAGTTTTATTATTCGTGTACTACAAGTAATACAAGTAATCATAAGTCAAAAATATTTTACAAATTTATTTAGAGCTGTATAAAATTATATAATAATTATGTTCAACAATAAGTTTTTTTCAACAATAAAATCTAAATTTAAAAAATATACATATATTTTATTTTATTATCTAAAGTAACATAAAAAAAATAATTTATTCATTTTCAGTTTTTGATCAATAATATAAATTAGTCTTATGCGTTTCCATTACTCTTTTGTTCTATCCAAACATTAAGTAGCTCTTCACTATCATGATATCCATGACTAGCTATAACATATTTATAACTACTAATAGAATAATGTTTCTTATAAAAATATATATGTTCACAGTGGAGAGGTTTTATATTTAATTTCTTTGATAGCAGTCCTAAATAAATGTCATCAAATCGAAACCGCTTTGTGTAAGAACTTCCATAATAAAATTTGACCAAAGCTGCTCTAGATAACATATAAGCACCAGCTGTGACGTATGGAGGCCACATATGATATGGATATTCCGAAAGTGGGACATACCTGTAACAAATAAAAACATTAAGATTGTTTCACTTAGGTACCAATATAAAAAATAAAATGATCATACCATTTACTTATTTGATGTCTCAGTGGTGAAGAATTAAAAACGTATCCAGTAAATAATTCTACATCTAATGGCAAAATATGCTTAGATTGCTTTCCTTTAACTTCTTTACTTAAATATTCTGGATATTCAGTTGGGTTTCGCAAATAACGTAACAAGTTTTTCATAGAAACATACATGTCGTCATCTGAGAAAAAATAGAATCTTGAATCATTACAATGTGTTGAAGCCCATTTAATTGCATTCATAGTTTTGATGGTATTATTGTAGTATTCGTCAACAAAATCATACTGTACAATGTCTCCATACTGTTCATGTTCTTTTTTAATGCGTTTTTCTAAATCTGTATCAAACGACTTTCCTAGTATAAAAACTGTTCTAGTTGGTACATCAGAAAATCGATTTTCAAATCCCCAAGTTTTTCGAATAGTCCTTCGTCTATCAAAATGATTTAATGCTGATTTAACTAATACTAGTAAATGAATGTTTCTATTACATTTAGTGTCATTTGATAACAGTAGATCATATTCTAATGGATTTATATTAATACAAGGTAGTTGATCAGATTCACCAGACTGTGCATTGATTATGCACTTTGAAATATTAGTTTCCAGTGGATACACAAATTGAGAATTATAGTCCAACTCGAAAAAATGAGTAAAAACACCAAAATAATACAGTAACACTAATGTAATTATAAAAATATACTTAAAATATTTTTTCATTTCAAACAAATTGTAGATGGAATTGGCCATAATATTTTGTATTGACATAATGAAAGTTAACACTAGTAAGACTCATATTAATAATAAAGCCATAATGAAAAATTTTAGATAACGGGGCACGAAATATGTATTACGAAAATTCCATGGTAATTAGTAATTGATGAAAATTGGCTCGGATCATAATTTATACTTATTATTACTTTTATAAGTATGATACAAGAAAATGTACAATTATCACTTATCACAAACCAGATTATTATGCTGATAAAATGTGATTATTATTATCCGCCTTTTTGAGTTGATAAAAGTGCATGATAGCATGCAAAATCCCACCAAAATTTGAATTTTTTTTTAATATTTGAAATGTACATTTCTATTTTTACTGATATTGTTTGAACACAGAACAGTAAAGTTGTCACGCCGCGCTGCCGGCTTCGAAGCTCTAGAGAAGGGGTCTCCAAATTACGGCCCGCGAACAAGTTTTAACCGGCCCGCAGCACCCATAGGACAGTAAATAAAATATAGATATCTAAAGATATGTGTAATTTAAAAAGTCGTTATTGCTGGCAAGTATCATAATTTATGAGCTGAACGCGACGACAGACATTGCCCTTTCCCTTTATATTTTTATTTTTAACGTCGATAACGGATTTGCTTACTTTTGGCCCGCTAAGAGCATTTGATATTTTTTGTGGCCCTTGAATAAATTGTTTGGACACCCCTGCTCTAGAGCATCCTCAGTCCCCTACTTATCGCCGCTGGCCGTCGCCGTTCTCAAGTACAATCGAGCTCGGGTCCTTCTGTCATTTTTGTGCGGTCAAGTTGGACGAAACTCCTCGTCCCTTGCCGCCCCGAGTTGTGTGCTTGCAAATCGGCCTACGTGCCATTGTTTGGTTACTTTTGGTTTTGGTGTACCTTTTTGCCGTGTGCATACATCCCGCGCCTGGAGAGAAACCGGCTCTTACGTACAAAAAATATTTTGCACATTTAGGGGTTGAATTTTAAAAAATCCTGATTTCTAGTTGATGTCTCCTACCTATAGTTTATATAAACTATCTAGGTACATATCAAATATCAGCTTTGGGGGTCAAGTAGATTTCGAGATTTAGTGTTAACTATATATATTATATAGGTACCATGTGGCTTCCCAGAAAAGCAATTGCATCCATATAAAAAAAAGAAAATGTATTAACAATTATAGGTCCTTTGATACATAGGTATTATGGGTAAAAAAAAAGATTCATATGAATAAATTGTGGATGAACCTATCTATGAACGGCACCTCAGCATTTAAAACTGTTGAATGCTTTTTTTAATTATAATTTTAAGTAAATCTCTTGGCAAGTTTGTTTAAGACGACTTACGCATTTTGGATATGAGGAGCATGTGCGAATGCTCTGGAGCTGTATTATTTAAACCATCCAACACCTACCCAAAAGATCTTAATAAATATGTTTAACATATTCAATTCTGTTTAACAATCTATGTCAGTGCCGCAACAATAGGGGAGGCAAGGTATGCAATGCATTCCCTGGCCAGGTTTTATGTTATGGTGAGGGGCCCATCATCAAAGCGAAAAATTAAGCAAGTTATTATTTAAAAAAAAAAAAATGGAAAATGTACATTCTATATTTCTATAATAGATTAATGTCACAATCAACCGCCAAATGTTGAATAAATATCCGATAATTTTGGGACCACTGATAACTGATAATCTTTGTTTACATGTACGATGGTAATTCACATTTGAAAATTAAAAATAGGTTTATTTATAACTCTCAACATAGACACACACAAACAAACGCTCGGGCCATGGACACACAACACATTTATTATGATATAATATCAGTAATCAGTATACTTAATGCCTACTAAAATTGTAATTCGTTAATCGTTTATCTTTATGATTATTATTATTACATAAATTCTCGAATACTTCATGAGCATTGAGCACCTCAGCACGATGGAATAAAGAAATCTAGTAATACTTTAATGATAATATTGCGGTGATACTCGTTGAATTTGATCATTTTTGTGTGTTATACTTAATTTTTAACTTTTGTAACTGAGTCAAGTTTATTGTTAATCGTTATCGTTTTATTGAAACTTCTGTGAAGAATGATGAAACCAAAAGTCCTTAGTGGTGCGGCTAAAAGGAAGAAAAATAAAGAGCAAAAAGAAATTATTTTAAAAAGTAATAAAAAAATTAAAAATTATTTTAAACCGGATCAACTTGAACAAAGTAAGTTTTATTAGAAATATTTCATTTTTTTAGTTTAATTATTTTTATTATATTACAAATTGCAAAGCATACACATAACTAGATATAATATAGTAAACCAATACAATAAATTATTTGAATTTGTTATGTTAATGACCATATGGGAAAATATTTTAAAACCTTTATCAATTGTATCAAAGGTATTACAATCACCACAAACCAATCTTCACAAGGCATGTGATTTATTGCAAGGAACAATTTTGTCAATTGAAAAAATGAGAGATGGTTATGATGAACTTGTTGTATCAGCTACTGGATTATGCCATAAATGGGGTATATCTATAACAAAACCTACAACCCGTAAAATATATTCAAAACAATACTGTGGAGAAATTCAAGGAGATAAACGATTAGATGTGCCTGAAGAAAAATTTCGTATAGCAATTTTTTATCCTCTCATTGATACAGCTTTATTTCAGTTACGTGATCGATTTAAAGGACTTCATTCCGTTTCAAGAAATTTTGAATTTTTACTTCCACAAAATATAGTTACTATGAAAGAGTCAGAAATAGTTAAATCTTGTTATGATTTCATATCATTTTACAATAACGATGTGACATCAGATTTAATAAGACAACTAATTTCATTAAAAGAATTTATTAAAAATACAAAAATTCAAACTATTCAAGAATTGACATCTTTTATAATTGAATATGATCTTTCATCTCTTTACAGTGAAATTCTCACAGCTTGTATTATATATTTAAGTCTCCCAGTTACTGTAGCTACGGCCGAAAGGTCATTTTCCAAATTAAAACTCCTAAAAAATTATCTTCGGAATTCTATTTCGCAAGATAGATTAACTGGCATAAGTATACTTAACATAGAAAAATCAAGGACAAAAGAACTAGATATTGAAAAATTGATAAATGACTTTGCTAATTTGAAGTCAAGAAAAAAAAACTTTTTAAAGTAAAATCTTTGTATAATACCTATAAATTATAATAGTACCTATTGATTGTTTATTTTTTGTTATTTAAATTTGAATATAATATTGTTTAATAAATGAATTACTTTTTATTAATTATTTGACTATTTGACTACTGATAACTGATGTATTGTTGGAGATGTGTTTAAAAATATGATGAACTTAATATAGCCACATTACTATACTGCTTGTCAAGCAGTATAGAGCTTAAAAAGTTTTAAAAATTTAGGGCCATACATTTTGTCTAGTATTAGGGATCTGCCAAAGGTTATCTGTGCACTGACTTTTTTTCATTATAATGTATAATGCAAGTACAGGGGCCCCATAAAGTTTTTAGCATCAGGGCCCTACAAAACCTAGTTGCGGCACTGATCTATGTATGAATAAATTAAATGCTATTCGTTGCCTAATCGCATCACTTGAGAACGGCTGGACAAATGTGGCTCATTTTTTTTTTTTTGTAATAGTCCGAATTAGGTTTTTACGAAAAGAAAAATTATAAAAGTCACCAGGAAAATTCGGGATAAACAAAAATGTTTTTTGACTGACTGATAATATAGACAGTAGAACCTACCTATGATAGTTGGAGACCTGAAATTGTCACCTTCGTACAATCATAAGTAGCGTCCGGTAGAGGTGCACTAAGAAGAAAGGATTTTCCAAAATTTCAATTTATAAGAGGTGTATTTTAACTTTTAAGATTTAAACAAGGATTCTTAACTTTATGATGGAAATTTTTATTTCAATATAATTGTCATTGGTTACTCGATGTGGCGTACGTTTTCAGAAATAATTCATTTCTTAAATAGGTAAGCTGTATTTTTATTGTCAATAATAACCACCAATAACCCCCCCCCCACTCTGAAATTCAGTATTAAGTACTTCACTGGTTACTATAGGGCAGATAGTATACAAGCATGCGTCAAATCGTGGCGTTTATGGCCTCGATTAAAGAAATTATATCTTAAGACGAAAATAGAAAACACTGCAGTTATTGGCTTTTAAATTACATTAAAAAAAAAAACAAAATCGATTTTTTCAAAAACTAGCTTTGTGTAAAAATTTCTCGTATTCCCTAATTTATATTTGTTTTTTCCAATCATTTTAAAAATGACTGGGAATTTTTATACCAACTACAGATCCAATTTGTAAAATTTGTTACCACAAATAAACCAATCTCAAAATTTGAAGTCAAAGTAGTTTTGCTGCACAACAAAAGGTGACGACTATATATACATTATGTTTATATTTTGATGTTTCTTACTTCGATAGATTCTTCAGTTGAAAAACTGTCATAAGATAGTAGATACTAGATAGGTACCTAATGGCTAATAATAATGTGAAAATATAAACGTTTATCAATCATACGCAATACCTATTCGGCAATACACACACATGCAATATTAATATTTATTGTTCGATGTAATTACATAATTACATGTGATATCTGAATTTAGAAATAATATTGATATTCATTTACATACATTTTATCTATAGTTGGGAAACTCAAAATTATGAACTATTATTGAAACAATTTATTAATATCATTTTTATCAGACATTTTGTTCGTATCTTTACTATGAGTAGGTCATTGCTATTCAAATTATTTTCGCATAGCCAGTATGTTAGTAGTATTAGCACAGAATAAATAAATAAATTTCATTTATTCTGTGGTATTAGCAGGTACCCCATTGTTTTATTCTGTGGTAGGTATCTACCTCTATAGCTTTATGTTTATTCTTCTGTTCGAGTAATTGAACTATATGCCTACTTACTAACAATGACCGGAGCATTGTTTAATATTTTAATTCCCACTAAACATCATGAAATCCATCTTTCTCAAAATATTGCATGTGATTGTTCAATAAAAACCAAATCCAATGTTAATACAAACAATAAACAATCACTTGACCGTCCTAAATATAGTTTGTCAATAACTATGGAAAAAGTAAGTAGCTAATACTAACTATTTACTATTTTACATGCATATATACCTATACTATATGTATATACCTATATAACTGGTGCCATAATTTAAATAAATAATCTGAGAGAAGCTCATTTTTTTTAGCTGGTTCATAAATGGTCTAAATTAATAATAATGAGGGAGCTATTTTTGTTTAAACAGGGTTCTAATCGTCCCTAAGTTCCCCTCCAAACTGCACATATTATGCTTATAAAATGAGAACATTGAGAGCATTTTAATGACATTTTGCACAAATGGATATATATATCATGTATACTGCATTATTGCATACCTTTATCTATAGTTAAGTATATTTTACCATTAACTATAATTATAAATATATATAAATGTCTTAGACATTGGAAGCAATTTTATGTAGTTTGCAGATTTCAAATTCGGTATGGAATCAAAGCAGAGATAATAGATGCTATTCGGTAATTATATATTATGCTTAGTCTCAAAATCTTTATACAATTAGGCATGTACCTGTGGTTATTATGTTACCCATTTACATATAGTTTATCAGTTACCTGCATTACATAGTAGCTATAACCTTACCATAAGTAAAAACTTTTTTTCTACTGAAGTAGGTTGTGGGTATTATTAGCTTTTAGTTAGTATACTTTCTCTACAGTTCTAGATTTACTCAAAATTTGTTTCCAATATTTTCAGGTAACCTTTTCAATCGCTTCCAATGAACACTGTGAACATATTTTGAATTTATTGATGGAAAATGGCATTGGAGTAAAATTAAATTCAACAGTAGTGTAACTATATATTTTATAACATTTTTATTCGTTATAATTTATACACATGTACATATTACATAATATAAAGATGCAGTAATAGTGTAAGAGGACACACTTTGTGTGTCATCTACCTATGTATATTTATAGTTACTTTATAGTCCTTTATTAATTATTAATTTAATACATGCCTACCTATTTTGATTTACTAGAGTCTTACCATGTTCATTGTATTATCAAGATACTGAAATGTCTACTCCGTCAGTTTTTGAAACCAATCAACATAAAAAGTAAGTATTATTTTAGTGTAGGTATGTTCAAAAAAATATTTTTTTTTTCAACCAGCCTGAATATAGATGTACTTTATTATGGGCACTCATTATAATTCTATTTTAATTGTCTTATAACCTACCCAGTTTGTATGAATCATCTTGGAAAAAATTTCTTCAGTCAGTTAGATCTCGATTAACCGTGGCACAAGTTGTTCAAGGTATAGAAGCTGGTGCAATGCTAACCTTTGATTTTGTAATTCTATTAATAATATCAGTGTAAGTATAAGATTTAATTATATATCTAATAAATACAAATAATCCAATGTAAGGTATATACTATATACTATGTATGATTATAAAATATCATCACCTCTTATTAAAAAAATTAATTACAAAACTTTATTTTGAAAGCCATTATACATTTTTTTGAAGTAGTGATTTTTATTCATAATTCATAGAACGGTTGCTGCTCTTGGTCTGATGCAAGGAGAAACCATTATATTTGTCTCTAGCATGCTTCTTTCTCCACTTATGGTTAGTTATTATAAAAATAATATGCCATAAAACAAACAGATATTGGACAACCCAAAAATAATTTCAGAGTATAAATACTTTTATTTTTAGGGACCAGTTAATGCTGCTACATTTGGAACTATGATAAAAAATAAAAAACTTAGAAACATGGGGATTATTAACGAAATGATTGGTTTAATTCTTTGCGTTTTAATTGGTTTTGGATATGGTTTAACTGCTTCTTATTTTGATGAAAGAGATTCTAGTCAATGGATAACTAATGAAATGGCCTTTATGTGAGTTCTTATATAATATATTTGGAACTAAAATTATTTTATCTTGTCTAGTCATTCTTTATTAAATATTCATCAAATCTTTTTTTATTTTTATTTCAGGACAGATATTGGTAGTTTGTGGATTAGTATTGTACTTGCGTTTCTTGTTGGAATTGCTGTGCCTATTGCTCTATTAGGAAATAATACATTTTCTTTAGTCGGAGTAGCAATATCTACATCACTTCTACCACCCTCCGTTAATGCGGTATGTATTTTAGTAACTATACAATATTTATTTAATTTATATATGTATATTATATACACATAAATATTAATTTATGTTAATGTATTTAATTAAATTAATAACTTTTAAGTTTAAATAATGAATAATATATATTTTTATTTATTATACTAGCTGCATAAATACTAAAAATGTGCATGAAGCCTCCTCCGGCTTCAGTCATATTTAAGATAATATCAGATCATAATAAGGCTTACTGACTAGTTAATATATTTTTTTATTGTGTGTAATTACTTATATAATATATAGTAGGAACCAATTGTGAATGGCGTGTTGTAGGTACTAAATATTTGTTTTGCTTAGGATGTTATTTTAAATTGTAAAAGTGTAAATCAGTAACTTTCTGAAAAAATAAAACTGTACAATTTATAACACCTTCTGTTTAAAGTACTATTGTTCAATAATTTGCAAGGTCCTATTTTTAATTAATAAATTATTAAATCACTGATTATAAATAGGTACAGTGTAAAATGATCAAAACTTTTCACCATTTTTGCTATTAGGACCATTAAAAAAAAATACTGTTTCATAGATGTTATGGTTATTCAAACCAAACAATGTGCCAGAACAATATTTTGATAAACTATGATTATTTAAAATATTAAAATTAAAAAATAAATTTATCTTTCTATTTTACTTAATAATAAATATATATTAAATTTTTATAGTAATCAATATGATATATATTTTATTTTAATTGTTACATTCATTTTTAAGGGTCTGTTGTGGGCATTTTCAGTGAGGAGTATCAATCAAGATTCTTTTAATACCTTAAATTTACATTATTCATCTACAAGATCTATTGATTTTGCTATTAAAGGTGCAATAAGCATGTGTGTAACATTCATCAATATAATATGTATATTTGCATGTGGCATTGTCATATTAAAAGTAATATAGATATTTATTAAATAAAGATACTTTTATGAATTTCTTAGATATTCAATAGCATGAAGTACTATATTTTTACTGTAGATAAAAGCTGTTACACCAAAACAAAGTAAACAGTCTACAGCATTAATCAATGAATATTTAAATGTGTTGAAAGAAATAAACTTAGAATTCCCTCAAGAAGAAGCTAATTATCTTACACTAAAGTAATAATTGTCTATATTTTAGACAAATTTTAACGTATCATTATAGTTAATAACATTAATTTAATAACTGATTAAAGGTTAAAAGAGGAATATTCAATTTTTGGGTTATCTCCGAGTACTGTAAAAGCTAGAGGGCTTTGTAGTGTCACTCCTGGGTATAACCCTTTTGATGTAAGCTTACATACAAAACTAAATAATTATCATGTTAATTACATTATTTGTATCTGACAGTTATCTTTCATTACTTGGTCGCCCGGGTATAGAAGACAGCATGACCTAAAATCATTTTCAAATACTCCGACGGATATTAGAACATCCAAGTTATTAAAGAATAAAATAAAAAATCCAGGTAATTTTATTGAGTAGGTAACATATTTATAAAAATTGTAATTGTTTAAAGAGGACATGTACTTAATTATAATTGTACATTTAAATTAATATCTTTTCTAGACATCTCTCAATACTTCAATCAAGTTTGACATGACTGGCTATAGTACAAGCTTAAAAAGTTCTTAGCCGCCCCTTATTTTCTTTTAATTAAATCAACAACAAAAGCTCTTAATGGGCCAAAAGTGTATCTACACGTATAATTTGTAATTTTATAGAAATATATTATATATTTAAATTTAATGAAATTTTAAAAAATAGTTCTTATAATATATTTAAATATACTCAGTTAATAGCTTATAATTATGATAAAGGTGATAATTGACAAGTGTACACAATAACAACTTAGGATATTACCCATATTTTTAGAGTGTAAACTGTCCTTTGGGGATCTAGTGATAACTTTTTGCGGGCTACATCTGGCCCGGAAGCTGTAGTTTGGAGACCCCTGGACTGGGCTATGAAATAGATGATAAATAAAAAAAAATTTTAATTAAGTTTAAAAAATTTTTAATTAAGTTTAAAAAAATTAATATCTAACAAAAAACTATTACAAAATTTTCTCATAAGTAAATCTGAATGTCAAGTAGGTAACTTACCTCAAAATTAATTTTATCTATCATAAAAAAAGATCTGTTATAAAATGATCATAAATAAGTTGTGTAAGAATATGGAAGTGATATAGATTGTATTTATAAATTTATATTATCAAATTTTTTTTTTATATAGATCTTTGCTGTAGTGAAACTTCACCAGGATCACTTACAGCTGTTTTTAGATCTCCAGTGGAAAATTATCAGACTACCATCACTACAGATAATAATACACCTTCAACATCAAGACGGTTTACTATAACTCCTGTAACGTTAAAAAATACTTCAAATTCTAAAAAATAGTACTATTTAATACATTTATGTGTTTTTTGGATTTTCTGATTTTTATATTATAATGATAAAAATATAATATAAATTATACTGTTATATCGTGTATATGAATATAACATAACAAAACATGATTGTATGCTTACATCAATTTTAAAATGTATTCATATTTTATGTTAACTAAAATTGGTTTTTATTTATATTGGTTATATCTATTATTGTTGGTGCTAAGAATAAATATCGTCATTTATAGAATATCTGAATGTATATTTTTCATAATTTCATTTTAAAACAGAAGTCATATAATTGTTACTAAAACATGGACATGAATAATTATTGATTACCAAAACTGCAAAATATAATATTTTACTTAATGATTCTGTTAAAGAAAAAAATATTTAATGGCCAAGTGACGACTAATTTGGCAATATCCAATTAGCAATAATTGGTATGATACCTATTGGCTATTATAGTATTATGAATTAATTTTGCAAATAATATTGAATTATAATATTATGTGTTATTATACCTACCTACCTACCTTATAAGTTATTATTATTTTAAGGCGGTTGGAAGGTACCTAACCTTTAAAGGGGCGGTATATTTGTATTGACATTTTATGGTGCAATTATTGTTCCTACAAAAATTATTACATTAAAAAAATATTTTATTATTGAAATTTGACGTTTGTTTATAATATACTATAGATATAGACAGATATAAGATAAAACCTATTTGTCATTAGATGTAATTTTTAGTTAAAACTTTAGAAAGTCACTTCATATTTTTTAATTATGAAATATGTTGGTACTATTTGAAAAATACTACAATATCATTATTTACTTACTATAACATCTTACCAGTACCAATAGGCAATATTTATAATATAATAGTACATATTTAGTATAAAATCATAAGAGTAATACAATCAACCTTTAACAATACAAATATATACTATAGATTTTACTGTTCACAGAGGAGAATTTTTTGATTAGTCATTGTCATATATCTATCGAGGCCAGATGCTGAAACCTTAATAAAATTGCCCTAAAAAAAATGCATTTGTGACTTAAAAAACGCAAAAAAAATTGTATATTTTGTTAATGAGTTATGACCTACAAATACGTAACAAGTAACAACACTCGTAAAACTATTAAAGTTAATTATCAATTTCAAAATTAAAAATTATAATTTACAAACGTGTGTGATTTAAATTTTAAAACTGATATTATCTTGAAAACAACTGAACATTTGTTTAAAATAATTTTCGTAATATCAAATAAATTTAATTATTTGATAAGTGGAAAGTATAAAAATAGAATAATGAAAAATAATTAACTCGTAATTTTTCTGCCAATCGTTAAAAATATGCCCTATAACATAGGTTTCCAAACTTTTCCTACTCGTGGCACCCTATTAGAACTGAAGTTTGCTCATGGCGCCCTTAAGAAAATGTATGACCTTTTTTTAAAATAAAATAGATAAAATAACAAATGTTTAATTTTCAATAAATATGGAAATATAAACTGAAATATTTAATTTTAATTTCATTATGTAAAGTAAATTAGACTTGATAACGTGCCTCTTTTAGGCAAGCAGCAATTGTTATCGGACGCCGGACGGAGATTGTGAACTGGGGGCTCTGGAGGTCGAGAGACCAAGGCTGTCAAATAAATGTAAAGAGGAAGAGGAACATCTAATGTTTTTGGGCACCGTCCAACCGTCATTCGTTCACGTCAAAGTTCGTCCACCTCACCACTCCCGCCTTCATCAATCCTGTATGACCCTTGATAACCACCGGAAGTCGCCGTCGGTTAACCAGTTCTTTGCGTACCCTGCTTGTGCACCATAGCTACCGTGTATCTATGGCCCTCCTATCGCCCAAGCATGAAGATATTTGAACCATAGACATATATAAACACATTATTAATAATATGAAACTATACAAAATTACCTTTAAAGCTAGAATCAATAAATCCATTATTTTTCATACTTGCTATTAAATCTCTAAGGTTCTTAATTACAATATTTTTACGCCTAACTGTTTGTTGTAATAGTTTAATTTTGCTATGCAGAGCTTTCTTTCTGAGAGTATCTGGTAATTTTTGTTTTAGAGTTGGCAAAAATAGCAGTGTTCTTTCTTTTGAAGGAGTCCTAAGAAGTTGAACACTAGATGTAGATTTGGTAGTTGGTGTATCAATTTCTTTAAGATTAGCTGGGCTTGGAGATCTCAATGGTGCTAAATTAGCTGGCTCTAATTCACATATTTTGAGGGTATCAGAGTTTGTAATGTTTAATAATTTTGCTCGTTTTGCCATCAGTTCTGTAGTACAAGTAAATACTGAAGGTACAACATTTTCTCTCAAATTTAAACGATAACTTCCGCCAACAATCGATTTGAAGTCCTCATATACAAAATGGTCAGAGCAAACTTTACTAAACTTAGTAGTGGTGAAGCCTTTACGTCCAATTGCTAACAACCATTTGTCTGCTCGCTTTGGGTCTTTTAAAGGAAATCTAAACGAAAAATATCAATTAGTAAGTATTTGGTAAGATGGCTACATGTAATATATACATGAATTAATTAATTGATGATAGTTATTATTTGTATTTTGACAGGTACTTACGAAAAAAAGTGGATTTTTCGGGAATCGACAGGTTTTCCTTGACGATTAGAACAACCGTGTACACAACAAGAATAAACCATGATCACAAAATTATAAGTCGAAACTCGAAAGAGTAAAGACTATAATATATTAATATTTTATAATAAATCGACACTCAAAACTTGAAAGACCGTAACACGCCAACACGGATTAATAATAATAATATTAATCCGCGGACCGTAAGTCACAATACCGTCAGTTATCTATGCTACTTTTTTGGGTACTGATTTCTGGTAACCTTCCAAGAACCTTAGCTGTAGTTTATCTTTAATTACATGAAGCATTCAGGGTACTCACGCACACTAATAATCAGTCATTACTAAATCCGACGTCTTAAATATGGTTACCTTTCAACAGATTAACAGAACAGAACAATTTGAAAATCGAAAAACAGGTAGGTATTGCCGTATTGGCCATTAGGGATACCCATGGCTAAAATATAGTATATTTAGCCATAGGGATCCCTTTCTCCCATTTAAATTATTTGGATACCATGGTTTTTGAAAAACCAGTGCTGAAAGATCTACAATTAATAAATTACTTGCTTATAGCTTATTTACTTGGTCATGCTGCTTGTTATCTTATGCAACCGTATAATGATAACAGTTAACACGTGCTTTTCTGTTGTACTTGTAAGTTGTAACTTGTTCTGCCGGATTGGAGTCGGTAGTCGTTACAGTGCTCTACTACTTTGTTCCAATGGTTTTTAAATTGTATACATGATGATAAAGCTAGATACATCGTACAGTTTAGGTTCCATTATCGAGCCCAATTTCTTGGGGATTTCAAATGATGCAGAACCGGATAATGTTATTGTCACCTTATCGAAAAACATGGTTACTTGTTTTCACGTATGTATACTTGTCACCCTATATTACACATATTACACACAGTTTCATCACAGTTATGTTTAATGTTTAGATGCCAAGTCAAAATCAAGTGCATTGTTGGAGCAGTTCCGATAAATTGTCTTCTGGAGTGATATTTGATCCATTAACTAATTGCTATTATGGTGTTTTTAACTATACCAGAATCGGCAAATGGTTACGAAGCTCTTTAATGATGAAAGATATGAAGAAATTTAATGTAAGTTTTTTCCTAGGTTTTTTCATAGTTATATTTCAACATAAATTTGGTTAATGCGTCATTTGATCTGTTTTTCTACTTAAATAAAAAATAAAATAACTCACTAAACTAGAATGTAGGACAAATTTAGTTTCCTAGTATCATTATTACAATGTTAAAGTCAATAGATACATTCTAATTATTAGGTAATCACAGAACATAAATAATTGTGGGTACTGCGTATACCTGTGTAAGATATATTAGGTATACCTATTATCTATCTTTAAATTAATTCATCTAAATAGATAAACAATGATTTACTTTATATTACTTAAAGTGTCTGTTTTTTTATTATGTATGTAGTGTTACGTCAGTCATCTTTTTTACTTATTGTGTTATGAAATACAGATTGCACATTTTCTATTAAATGAAAAAAAAAGTATCTGTTACAATTTACAAGGGATTGGTTAAATTGGAATTTTTAATTGATTTGCTTAAAATTATAGATGGACAGTTTGAGTGGGTTGGAAGTATAACAATTCTCAGAAATTTTCAATATAGGCAATCAAAGAAGACGAAAAACAATATAATAGAAAAACAGAAGTAAAGAATAACTATTGGTTTCTTTGAATTTTTACCAAATATTTATATCAGAATTTTTTAAAGTAAAGTCATTTTAAAAATATTGTTACTCATCTCGGGATATTTATAAGGTATAATCCTTCCATCAGTTTATATTGAAAAAATAATATTCTTGGACATAAAGTTTGAAAATGTAATATCTTATTCCTCATAACTCATAAGTTATACTTATAGTATTTAAAAAAGTATTGAAAAATACATCTGCACAATTTTTTTTTCTAGTCATTTGAAGTTTTAATTTTGACATAGGATATTTCAGCAAAAAATAACTCTTTAAACTTCTAATAGCTGATGGTTCTAAAAAAAAAACTTCTAATAATTTTAGTTTTGATGCTGTAATTGAAAAAATTAATTAAATAATCATTCGTAAGAACTTATAACTTCTTGTCAATTTATAATAATGTATCTAATTATTTTCTATTCACAATATTTTTAAAATATCAAGACCAGTTTTTACTTTTAAAACTGCTTTTGATAGGTCTGTGTTATTGTTATTGTCTTATAAGTTAATAAAAAATTATAGTTATTTTATTATTTATAATAAATATAAAAATTATATACATAATAAATTCAATATTTAGGGAACAATTGTGTTCAACTTACTGAATTACTAATGAAAAAATAAATTGTCAAAAGCTCATAAAAGATAGTGTTGATTATGAATTTTCATGTTATAATGCCACCAATTTTTTCAACATACAACAATATGTATTTAATTGACATTTAGTACCTAACCAGCTTACGGGGTGCAAACCCTTTCCAAAAGAGAGCTACTTTAAACATTTTAAGCATATGGTGATCAACCACTATTTACTTGGGTATATTTATATTATTCCATGCAGCAAAAAAATAAATTGTATAGTAATATTATTTTATTATTTCTCCTTTAATTGCCTCCTGACCTAACCCATCAAAAAGATATTGCATTTCTCCCTATAATTTATATTTTATAACAGTGCACTAAAATTAATCTCAGTTAAAATATAATTAAGTCATTTTTGTCCTTACCTATAGGTAAATACTTGTATATTAGTATACCAATATATATTCTTATATATGATTTTTAATAACATTTATGTAAGGTAATTTAATAAATAATAATGCTTTATTTTTTTCAGTTCACTGCAAAAATTATAAAACTTTTAACCAGATTAGATTATAAAGGAGCAGTTGCAGTTTTTGAAAATGGTCATTGTGAGTGTTTAAAAGAAGCAATTGGTAATAGGAAAAAAATCAGAGATGCTGTCATTAATGATGGCGAAACAATTGAGTTAGCTAAATTATGTATATTCAGGACAAAAGCTATATGTATTATTGTATCTGTTGATGAAAAGGTAAATATAATTTTTAGCTTATTTTTTATAAATAGTTATTTAAATAATGTATATTATAGTTATTTGAATATTGTTATTTCAGAATATAAAAACATTACGATCTGTGCCATTAGAGGATACTTTCTTGCCAATTAATTTACAAATATCTTTCAAAAACAAAACTGACAAATTACTTGGTTATTGTGTTAGAGAAAATTCTGGCTCACTTACTGTTTTAACATTTTGTAAGTATTGTCTGTCTGTCTTTCTGTTATTAATATATTTTTTCTAAATGTATGCATATTAACGTATTACTACAAAATGTGTTTTACTTTGGAAAGTCACTTAGTTTCTGTTTTATTTATTTGTTAATTATCAAACATTATTTTTCATTTGCATAGGGTCTAATGGTTACTTGTATTCTAATGAGTTGTACGCCGAAACTAACAGCAATGATTTTCCTGGCAAACAGTTGACAGAAATTACTTTAGTTAACTCAAAAAAACAAGTAACTTTAATTCAACTAAGTTCAGATTGTATTGGTCTTTACGGTGCAGAACCAAAAGGCGATGGTTAGTAAAAATATTATTTCGGTTATTTATATCTGATCTGACATTTTCTATGATTGTATTTAAAAAACCAAATTGAAATTTGTATTGGTTCATTAAAATGAAAAACTTAAATTTTATATTGTAATTCATATTGAAATAGAATAGGTTAAAGATTTTGTAGATTAACAATATTTTTGTACTTTTCAGGAGCTGCTTTAGTAATATACAATTTTCACTACAATATGGTAGTTGCTGTACAACATTTTAAAATCTACACCAATCCTCCAAATTTATGGTGTTTTGGAAATCATTTACTTTTAGTAACGGGTCAAAACTTAGCAGTGATTCCTTTTACATGTGAACGGAATAATTTATCCTTGTTAATGGATAATAATTTAATTAAAATAAATGATAAATATGAAGAAACTGAATGGGATTCATATGCAAAACAAAAATGTGTAGATACAATTTCAACTTCAGCTTTATCCCAATCAAAGTAAAAATTATTATTATTTACAAATTTTTACAATATTTAACATTATTCGTTTGTTTCAGATTAAATGAAATGATAATCACTGACCATATTAATAACAAAAAAGATAAATCATTGATTCGATTACTGATAGAAAACAACGATATTAGTGATACTTCCTTAGTTGAAATATTATCATATTGTAGTTTAAACGTAACAAAACATTCAAATCTTTTGTTAAAATTATTTGCATATCCACCTTTAAACAAGCCATCTTGTTTACGGCGCCAATTACCTTTTGAGAATATGCTGACAATTTTGAATACCTTGTATTCACTTATGAAGGAGAAATTGATTGAAGAAAGATTAGTTGATTGGATGACACTGATGATAGACTGCTCGTTTCAACAAATATTATTGTCAAATGATCCTAACGTACTTGAACTTATAATTAAAATTCAAAAAGATATAAATAGTAAATGTGACTATGTGGAATCAGTATATAATACAAAGAATACATTGCGTGTTATAAAAAGTAAAAATGTTAACAGTAAGAAACGAGATGGACCTGTCAACAATTTATATAAAATTGAAACAATTAATTTATATTGAGTAAATTTTTATTTTAAAAATAATATTTGTTTTTTTTTACGTCTACGAGTTGACTATAATATATTCTAACAAATTACTAAATGTCTATGATGTTGAAACTTAGGTGTTTAAATAACAGAATGAGATATATACAATATATATCACTGATTAGACATTCAAACAGTTATGAACAAGAATATTGTAAAATAAGATTTCTCTATAACTGTTATATTACAGTCTACTAATGATTTATACCTAATGAAATGAATGCATTTGTCACATTTTAATACTATAGATTCAGTCTAGGCTAGAAAACATTTTTTTACTTTTAAAAGAAACTGCATTTTATGTACCTTAGTGGAATTAGAACTTAAGTTTGGTACACTCAGATACCATTTGGAAATTAGGATTGCATAATTCACTTTTATTCTGTTATTTTAGGTTATAACTCTATCTTCAATTATAATTTATATTTTAATTAAAAACCAGATAGTTCTGTAAAATATTGGATTTGTATCTCCGTGTTCTTAATAACATCAACATATCTTGTAGTCTAATACAGTGTTTGGAAAGAACTTTGTTTATTTGCATTTTCAACTTTTATTCACACGTTCACTTTCATATTTATTGAATGATACGCTAACATCAATGGTTTTTTTCAAATCGAATGTGAACATTTATATTTTAATGAATTTGAACGATCTTTAAGACGCTCAATTTATTTGTCATTAATTAAATATATGTTAAAAATATATTAATTAATTGTATTATATAATATTTTCCTATTATAAAAAAAAATTAAATGAACAACCAAGTAAATGCATTTATTTTTTCAGTGAACATGAATGCGTTCGTTTGAAAAAAACGTGAACAAATTCATTTTTTTAGTGAACATTCCAAACACTGGTCCAAACCATGTTAGCATCATGCTTATTTAATATGATTCATGAATTTACAGCATGCACAATTGTCTGATTATTGAGGAAATTGATGTATCGGCTGTGATATTGCTCTGTGGTGACAGGCATAATACTGTGCATTGTGATATGAGTACATTATATTTCTATTGTAGGGTGACATTACATAACCTGCGAGTAGAGTTTCAACTTTTAAATTAAATATTGTCTTATAGGCTTCATATTATATTATGGTTACAACACGAACTAAGATTTTAGTCATTGACATGATGGTCGTTTTCAGAAAAAGTGGCCCTCTGCAGTTTTTTTTTTTAGTTGATGTGTCCTATGATCTTTGTAAATGGTTTTGATCTCAGAGTTTATTGTTTATACTCTATCTTTAAAAATGCAGACTACTGAAACATTCAAACATAGAACAATGCTGCAGCTTTGGTTATCCAACTTTACACATGTTGATTTTAGAATCTGAGCAGCCTGATAAATGTATTGATTAATTTTTTTTCTCTGATTAACTGACAGCAAAGGTGTAAACAAATAATTGGGCTAAAATAGTATAATACAATTAATAGATATAATACAGATATATAACAAATTGTACGATTACATAATATAAGTTTAGTCTGCCATTCTAGTCTCGTTTGCTGATCTTAATCTCGAACTGTCTGGGGAGTGCTCAGTCGGCCAAGGCCCCTTCTTTTTTTAAAATTATTTGTTTGGCATGTTCCTGGTCTACATAAGGAGTAGGGATATAACTATCAATATTTAATCATATGTAATTTTTAGACGTAATTTATCTTTAATCAGGACCAAGGGCCATAGTGGAGTTGAGTTATATAGAATATACAGTAGAGTTGATTTTAGTTAATAATAATAAAAAATTATATTGCCCCCATCTACTTTTTTACAGTTATACCACTATAAGATGGGTATTTTTTATTTATAGGTGTATATCCATCGGTCAGCTCAGAATCAACCAGCATATTTATTAGTCATAAAATAGTCCTCTTAATTAAATATATTTATTTTTGTTTCTAATTATTTGGATACGTTTAATCCACCGTCAAGGTCTAAATATTTTAATAATATAACAAGTGTTAAAGTCAAATGCTAGATTTGTGTGAACATCATAGTTAGTTTTATTTAAAAACTCCATTTTAGTTATTTTAAATATTGAGAGAAAAATATCAATTTACTACTTTTCTAGCAACCTATGTTCAGTATATAAATAGATGTAGGTTTGTAACACGTAAACATAATCAATCAGGACCAATTACCAGTCCAATGGGCCATGGGGGCCCACAGAAGGGTGCTGGGGGCATGAACCCCAAGCTATTTAAGCTGATATCAACCATTTCATCACTCATAGAAGCAAAAAAATAGTATACGCTGTTATCAGAGATTTTTGACTTTGCCCCTTCTTTGTTTATATTTCTGGAGGTGCCATTGCACTTGCCACTTGGTAAGAACTACTTTGATAGCAAACATTATGACAAAATTTAAGATAGAGAATGATATTGGAACATGTATAACATAAAATAAATAAAAATAAAAAAGTAAAAAAATATTTATATACTTTTTAATGCGTCGACTTTTTTTAATACTATATCAAAATCATCAATTTTTCTATAAGATAGGAAAAAGAAAATGATGAATGAAAAATTGTACTAGAAAATCACCATTTCACAATTTTCATAATCAAATTCAACTGATTAATGTTAAAATACCTAAGGTAGGTGTCTTAAGGAATACATTCATGGATTTTTAGTTAAAAAATAAAATTACTTTTACAATGTACATGACAAATAAAATAATTAAGCCTATTTATGAAGAATATGACTATTGAATGATATTAAATTAGAATATTAATTAATTATACCAACTTAATAATATTATATTGCATCATTATACATACAATATTGCTCGAGGTTCTATAACACGACAAACTTAACAACGATAACAGGTAACATAGAATTTAATAAGTTAATGTTTGATGTGCTCAAAGCAAGTGTTTTTTTTTTTGTTTTTGCTACAATAAATGTACTTAAGTAGTTGCAAAAAGAAAATTACAATGTTAGGAGTTTGCAGTTTTAAAATGTGTGTCCTCTTACTAATTAGAACGGAATGATCGTATCACCAAATTAAATAAAAAAAGAAACAAAACTTTAACAATCAGAAAAACCATAATAATAATAATAATAATAATAATATTTTTTCACATTAAAACGATCATTGCAAAAATAACAATATTAATTTTTTTTATAATAATTTAATTTTATTTACATGTACAACATCACAGCTTGTCGTAGGTACGGTGAATTCAGGCAGACTAACATCAGCCTATCTGGACGGTATCGGCTCTAGGAAATCCAACTCAAGCTCTTGCTCTAGTTGACTAATGGAACTGTCTAGGGATGGGTGTGGCTCGCCAGTGCTTAGAGCAGAAAAAAATGGATGAAGGTCTTGCAATGAGCGAGCTGTTGAACCAGTTGGCAACAAGGTATCTGGGTATGTTTCTATTGGACTCCCATACTAAAAAAATATAATTTAATACAATTATTAAATATGTTCATTTTTATATGTGAATAATATATCCATGTTGATGTTATATTATAATCTTAAAATATAATAAAATTACTTTTGATTCCATTATCTTGGCTATCCTTAAAACATGGGGGACAAATTCTACTGGGTTCTGTTCGTTTTGTGATAGTTCAGGTCGTCCAACAAAAGCCCACTTGTACCTAAAAAAAATTGATTTGTATTAAGCACATAGTTTGTAATCAAATAACATGAATTCAATTTACATTTGAAATTGAGGTAGAATATCAGCAGGAAGTTGAATGGCAACACTAAGAAGTTTAACTGCGGCTAGTTGAAGTTGCAACCACTGTGGATTACTGCTAGCATTAAGACCATTGTTGCTGTTAACTACCCATGTCCAATCAAGTCCCGAAAGCAGTCGTATGTGTGAACTGAAATTTATGAAACACAGAATTTAAATTAATTGCTACTATATAATTATGGCATAGATGACTAAAAAATTTTTTATTATAATTATTATTATTAATTATTTTGTTGAGTAATATTTAAACTCCTTAAAACTCAAAATCCTAAAATACCTATCCAACTTTATGAGTTTTTACTTATTACCTATAATATAATATGTAAATTTATAAATTAAATATAAATCCACCTATCATATTGCATATAACTAGGTACTGTTTCTGCATAAACTTTACAACATGCATTGCTGATTGTTTTAAAATATTTTCAAAAATGAACCATTACCAATTTCTATTTTATAAATTGATTAGAAACTAAGAAACAAACTTTTTGATTTTCTGTTTAAATTAACCAAAAAATATTATAATAAAGCAATAGTTATTCAACTTAAATTATTTAAAATACCAATTAATAATTTCAATGACTGTTATCGACAAATATATATTAATATACACTATTCAGTTTATAATTAATCAACCTTAAAATGTATCAGTACATATAAATTATGTATAGTATTTATACCTATTGTACCTAAATAATGTGTTTTAAGCACTAAATACACTAGAAGTTAGAAACAGTATTTTTAGATTCTGAGTGTAGCGATTGGACATTAAAAATATCACTATTTTATTGATGTATAATTTATATATTTTGTGAGTAAATATCATGTAAAAGATTATATTATTATTTATTAATTTAATAAAAATGTTGTGCTTCAATATTATGTAAATTAAATAATACTACGAAGATCATGTTTATATATTGCTGCACCTCATCTTATGTACAGAGTAATTTAATAGAATTATTTACATTGTAAGAATATATTAAATTATTAGACTTTCCTATGTGTAGATGAAAAATTAAATGTTGAAATTTTATAATTTATTAGTTAAAAGCAGCATAAAATGTATACATACGTACATTTTATACTGAATCTACAAATGTAAAACATCAATTTCATAAGCTGAAATGAAGATATTTAAGAGAAATTTGTATTTTAAACTGTACAATTATAAATTAAATGTTTATTTATTAAGTTGTTTTTATGTTTAAAAATCAAAATAGAAGTATTGTTTTTTAAAGAATGTCTGAAACCAGTTTCTATAAACAAAAAAACATTTCTT